CCCAGGAGTAATTAATACTAATTAATGTGTGTTAACTAACTTTGTTACCTGCTTGTAGAATGACTCATGCACTCCTTCCTGATATGGTGGTATATAATAGACCCCCACCACAAAATTGTTGCTGTTGTTTTCCCTTGTTATCCTCACTCAGATTCTCAGTAAGTCTCTCGCTTGCTTTCTTCTGGACTGTGGAGCAAGTGTATATATACTTGTTGTACAGCAATGTGACAGATTCAGTCACAGAGATCCCCTTGACACAGTCACTTGGGCTGTGTCTAGACTGCATCCCTTTTCCGTAAAAGGGATGCAAATTAGACACATCGCAATTGCAAATGAAGTGGGGATTTAAATCCCCCCTGCTTCATTTGCATAAACATGGCTGCCGCTTTTTTCCAGCTCAGACCTTTGCCAGAAAAAAGCGCCAGTCTAGACGGGGATCTTTCGGAAAATAAAGCCTTTTCCGAAAGATCCCTTATTCCTTTTTTTAAGGAGGCGTACAGCTAGTTCGGATAGGAAGCCTAATCCAAACTAGCTAGTTCGTGCTGCGTGTAGCTGCGCGGCATGCAGTCCAAACTAGCCGGCATTTAAAAATGGCGCCGGCCGGCTTCATGCAAATGAAGCCCAGGAAATTCAAATCCCTGGCTTCATTTGCAACTCCGTATGACTACATTACCCCCCCTAGTTCAAACTTGGGGGGTAGTGTAGATATACCCTTAGATAGTAAACAGAGGTGTTCTGGCATCTGGGAGCCACTGCCTATTGATTGATTTCTCACCTTTATAACTCTTTTTCCAAAGGCAGGAATCCTTTGTATTCAGTTTCAATTTTTCATACTTCCAGTGGAAAAGTACAGCATTCAAAATGGGTTCTAGAATCAGGTGATTTGGTCCCATGTCATGGCAGGACCAGTCACAGTCCAGGCTTAGAGGAAAAACAAGACTTTTCACAGATCATTGTCCCAAGTACAGGCCATTAAGTTCCTTGAGTACTACTAATGGCTCTTACTTAGCCTGTCTAGATTAGTAAAACAGGTTTATACTTCATATTTCTAAACTCAAATAAACTATACACATCCAGCAGGTTATACATTTTTAAATTTTATGTTACATTATATTCATAAATATAACTTGAATATGCTTACTGTAAAATATTTCATGTATTTCCATAAATAATATGGGATGCAATGTCACAAGCACTTCTTCTTTTTCCCCCCATACCTATGATTTCAGAACAAGCAAGGTTCCTCAGTGCTGATACTCCAGTTATGATAGTCGTCCTCAGGAGTGAAAGAAACTTAAATTTCTTACAGGTACACATCACATCAGACCAAACATGAATGTATTCCACCTGGCAAGAAGTAAAAATTGAAAATGGAAGGGGATTTGTAATGTAAAATATGTAATTAAAGCAATAACTCTACTTTTCTGTTATTAATGCAGTTTCATTCCTGTTGGAGTGTGTGCGGGTGTGTGGGGCACCAGAGCCAGGGATGAGGCTGTGGGGGCAGGAGTTGCCAGAGTCAGGGAAGGGAGTGGGAGTGCAGGAAGCTCAGAGCATGGGGAGGGGGTTCAAAGCAGAGCGGTGGATGCGAGGGGGCTCAGGACAGGGGTAGGATTGCATGTGTGAAGTGCAGGAGTTGGGGTGGGGGTGTGGCCTGTGACTAGGTAACCTTACCTGGCCACAAGGGAGCTGTGGGCAGTCTGTTTGGGGGTGCTGCTGCTGGGAAACTGGCTTTTCCCCCAGGGACTGATGGCAACAGTGCAAGTCAGGGATAGCATGTAGGCTGCCCAGCACACGTCTACCCTACAGCACACCTCCATCTAGTCCCTTTAAACTTCCTGCAGTGCTGCCTCACCTGCAGCTGCAGGAGTTGAGCTAGGAGACCCCGCACTTCCTGCAGTGCTGCCTCAGCTGCAGGAGTTGAGCTAGGAGACCACGTGCAAGCTGCACCCCAGCCAGCTCTTTAAAGAGCTCTTGATGGAGCAGTGCACTGGGTCACACCCCCTTAATTTCACCTCTGGTTGTCCTACCGGGTCTCTATGATACCAATTAAGTCATAATTTTCTTCATATATTATGACTTTCAGTTCATCCTGCTTGCTCCCCATATTCATATGAACATAAGACTGGCTATTCTGAGTCAGACCAATGGTCATTCTAGCCCAGTATCCTGTTTTCCAATAGTGGTTAATGCCAGATACTACAGAGGGAATGAACAAAACAGATAATCATCTGAGAACCTAAAAGTATCAATCATTCCCATCTGAAGGACAGTCAGTGGTTCTTTTCCGCTTCTGTTAGGATCCTGTCTTCAGCATCAGATCCATCCCCCGTTATCCATTCCTAGCATTTACTCCTTGCATTTGTGTACAGGCATCAAAGATATTTTGCAGACTGCCTTGGAATATCTGTATTCTGGTCATGATTACTATTGTACTATATTTCCAGTATTCCTGTATTATCTGGCTTCATTTCCTGCACCACAAGTTGTAGTTTCTCCATTTTGTGGCACAGGCTGTTTGTAGTGGTATACAAATGTTTTTGTTGGTTCTCCTTGGCTTACCCAGATTCCTGGCCTGATTAGGACAGTCATTTTACTGCTAGTATTGCTTACCTGACCGTTAATGTCATTGGTCCTCTTTCTACCTTCAGTAGCTCCTTTCTCACTTCTGTATACTTTTTTATTTGATTGTCCTTTTGCTTGATATTACAAGACAGGCATGGGGATTACAAAAGAATCTTCCAGTCATCTCCCCCAAATCCCAAGTTTAAAGCTTTTTTAAATCATTTATGCCAAACTGAATTTAAAAAAATCTATTATCTTGACCTTCCTACTCAACGCAGGTGGAGTCTATCCCATAAGAACAGTCATCTATCATGAATGCCTCCCTATGACCAAACATCCCAAAGCCTTTCTTGTAGCACTATTACCTGAGTCATCTGTTGATCATCATAATCTTGTCTTACCTTTGCTTGTCTCTAGTGACAGGTAGAATCCCAATTAAGTTCACCTGAGCCTCTGTTACTTTAAGCATCTTCTCCAGCCTAGTGTAGTCTTCCTTGATGCATCCCAGTGAGAGTATGCCAGTATAAATTATTCCCATGTGGAGGACAGTCAGTGGTTTTTTTCTGCTTCTGTTAGGATCCTGTCTTCAGCAGGTGCATATGCGGTATCTTAGCTACCAGCAGACAACCCACCCATCTGCTCTTCATTTCAACTCTGGAGACAAGTCTATCTGCTTTTTTGGTAGTTCCCAAATAAATCAACTCTGTCTCTTCTTGGTGTTGCTATGATTCTCCTGCTTTTATTTTTTTTCTTGCTGCAAGTCTTCTTGTCTTCTCTTGCTTGCAATCTTTTGTGAGTATGATGGAGGAGAGAGCCCTGACAGTTTGGCAAATTGACTATCAGCCATATCTAAAAACAGGATACTATTATTTCAAAATAATATTGAATATATTTTCCTTCTACACAAATATGTATTTGCCAGGCAGAATGATACATTTTACTGTAAGTTGAGAATACTTATAAAAATCAAATACAATAATAAACCTTGTCTTATTGTATGAGTAAGTCTGAACATTATCTAACCAGAGCCCATGAAAAAACAGGAGGTGAATACTAACAAGGTATTATTACTGGAGATGTCTTCCATCCTCCATTATAGACCTGGTGCCAAGTCCATTTATTTGAAGATAAATTCTTTGCTGGAGATTAATTTTAATTGAGCTTTTAAAAGCTTATAGTATAAAAGGAGTTTGCTGTGTATTTCATGAGATGCTTACACAAACATTTCTGAAAATTTGATCTCACTCAAAAACTTTTTGAGGTCTATTTTAAAATAGACCAGACATTGGATTTTGGAGGAAAAATGTAGGTGTGGGGTGTAAGGACAGTTCTGACGTAGGAGAGAAAGTGTTTATGAGAATGTCATACCAATAGTCCAGTTAGTTCAGTGTCCTGTCTTCCAACAGTGGCTAGTGCTACCAGATGCTTCAGAGGGAATGAACAGAACAGCACAATTTATAAAGCAAGGCAGTCCAAGATTTAGGGATACCCAGTGCATGGAATAAGAGGTGTGTGATGGAGGAGTACTGACATTGTGGGAAAGAGGGGTATGATGGATCAGAGCTCTGCCATTGGGATCATGAATCCTATTGCTGGTGGTGGAGGAATCTACAATATGGGACATCTACAGTATGGGACAACTCTGATGGTTGGTTGGTTGTGCCTGCGTTGTGGGTGTGTGTGTGTGTGTGTGTGTGTAGAGCCAAAGAGCTCTCACGCTGTGTGTGTATGCGTGTGTGTGTAGACAGCTAGAGAGCTCTCACATTGTGTGTGGGTGAAAGAGAGGTGGAGGAAAGAACTTGGACATAGCATATGAGGGTGTGTGACAAGAAGAGAGGCATGGCCGGTTTGTGATGGTGGAGTGCTCTGACGTTATCTGTATGTGGTTGTGAAGTGTGCGATGGAGGAGGGAGCCCTGACACTGTGTGTGTATGTGTGTGAAGGGGAGATCGGAGGAGGAACGAGCCCTGAAATTGGGGAGAGGGGAGGCGAGAACTGTGACGGTGCGTAGGGGGAAGGAGGAAAGAGCCATAGCACAGTGTGTGAGTGAGAATGTGAGATGGAGGAGAGCTCTGACACGGCGGTGTGTAAGGGAGGAGAGCCCAGACCCCGCCGTGTGTGGGTGTACGATCGAGGAGAACCCAGTCATCGGGTGTGGGTGTGAATGAGATGGAGGAGGGCCCTGACACAGCGCTAGGTGAGGCAGGCGGAGCTCCGCTAGTGGCCGGCGGGGGTCACCTCTGTCCTGGAGCTTGATCCCTCCCATTCCGGGCTGACCTGCGACAAGGTAGCATCGGCGCCCCGGCCCGCATCCCCCGGCGCGTTCGGATATTGCCGCGTTCCGGCAGCTCTTTTGCCCCGCGAAGGCCGCGGTAGCGGCGCGTTGCCCCGGCGACCGGCTTCGCTGTGCTGGGGGCGGCTCCTGCTCTCAGTCGTTGAACGGCGGCTCTGCGCTTCGCTGGGGCCTCGCTGGAGAAGGGAGCGTAGCCGGGCGCCTGGGAAACCTCTGTCCTTCCCGAGGCCCATCCTGGGGCGATGGCACCGTACCCCCCTCACTGGTGACCTATCCGGGCGGATCACGCCCCCGGGGTGCGCTGAGGAGGCGGCCCAACCGCACGCGCAACTGCGCCCCATCCACCGCTCTTGGGGGACCTGCGGCAGAAGGGCGGACTGCCCCCACCTACCCGCTTAGGGGACTTGCCCCCATAGGCTCCCTTTACGTGGAGGCTGCACAAACAACTGCGCCCGATCCCTTCTGGGGGCGGCACCCGCGGGCTGGTGCCTCCTCCCCACAACCCTGAGGACAAGAGCATCGCTTGTACGTGGAGGAGAAAGTGGAAGCCACCCCTCCCCTCCTCCCCCGCCCCAGCAGGGCACGAGGAGCGAAGGGTAAGAAGGCTGGTGCCTGCCGCTCCCTGCAGACGCCGGAGGGAAGTGAAGCAGCTGAAGAAAGTTTCCTTCCAGGAGGTTGTGCTGAGAATGGAGTGATGCTCATAAAAAGGCAGAAGTGGGTTGTGCTGGTGCCGCATTGTGTTTACTGAGGCCCCTCCTGGGTGGTGGGGGCTCAGCAGCTTCGTATGAGGAAGAGTCAGTCACTGGTACTGCTCTACATTCAAGTGCATCGGTGGAAGGGGGTGTTGTACGGACTCCTCCCTTACTAAATGCAATGTGACGCTTGGATGGATCATGGTTTGCCAAGGGCTCTAGTTGTTACGTGCATCCGATAATCATCTCCAAAATGGATTTTAGTCAGAACAATTTATTTGGATACATAGAAGACCTTCAGGAACTTACTATTATAGAAAGGCCGGTACGCAGGAGTTTAAAGGTATATACTTAAAACCCTGAATGATGCTTTAAAATCCAGCAATTATTGCAGGCTTGTATTTGTGCATAGATTGCTGCACTGACCATGTTCTTGCAGCACTCATTTTTAAAATTTGTTTTCACTTGTGGTGAAATTAACATCCTTGAATTCTGTTTAGTAGAGCCTTAATGTTTCTCGGTATATACAAAGTCTTAAGTAGGAAAAATGAAGAAAACTTAGTTGATGTTTAAAGTAACTTTCATATATTTTATATTAACTGTAAATGAAATATATATTGTAAGAATAACTGTTAGAACAGTATTGTATAAGAACCACTGACATATTTCTGGCTAAAGATTTACCTGATTGAATTAGAAACCTCATTTGCAATTTTAAGAATTAAATTCCCATTAACCATGTAATTGTTTCTGGAGGTTGGAAAAAGGGATTGTTACAAGACAATTGAAAAAAAGGAAATAGTAAGGTATTTTAAAATCATATTTTGTATTTCACACTTGACAGACACCAGAAGAAATAGAGAGATTGACAGTTGATGAAGAACTCAATGATATTGAAAGGGCTGTATATCTACTCAGGTATGTCCTAAAATATTGTTGTGCATGTGTACAACATCTAGTTTTTATTTTAGTTCCCTATTTCTATTTCCTTATGTTTTCTGTCTATAACATTTGTTGGTTTTATTCTTCTTACTATATGGATGATTATAAATAGAGGCAAGATAAAATAGGTGTCATTTGATCAACTTGCACATGTTGGCATTGGATAGGATACTCCTACAGATCTACAAGTGTTTCTTTGCTCAGTGAGTTCCTGATATGTGCCTTTGCCATTAATGAATTGTTTGTACTTCATTTCTCTCTCTCTCTCTCTCTCTCTCTCTTTTTTTTTTTTTTGCCCTGTAATTGGTTTTCCAAGGTTCACTGGACTGAATGTTGGTATTAAAGAGAGCAATCAGTGACTAACTTCATATTCACTCTATATGAGCAATGATTATGCTGATATGGAACAGAGTTGTTTGAGTTTGTTGCATGCTTCTGGGCAGTATAAAGAGGGGAATGTTGAGAGATCGGTCTTAAAATCCTAAGAAAATAATGTGTAACATATTATTTTAATATTAACCGTGCTCTTGTTCCTCATTTTATCCTCCTCTTCCAGTTCCCTAACCTATCTAGTTACTATTGCTTGTTTTAAATTATAATTGTTTCAAACCCAGAGCTCTTTTGACTCAACTGCAGATGTAATCTTTGAAGGGATAAGTGTTCTGAAGGATTTTGATTTGAATATACATTTTTATATAATGCTCAGTAATTAGCAAGCCAGCTGCAAGCTTCCTCCCAAATTGTCTTTCTGCCATCTTTAGCGGTCTCTGAATCCATGCTTGCCTTACATGTTTTCAGTATGTTTTTTAGTTTCCTAATTGTTTTGGTTTGGTCTGCTTGGCAGTATTGATAGGCCAGCATTTTTGTCCATCTGCTGTACTTTTGGTAATAAATTTTGGCTACCGTTAATTTTTTTTAATGTTTAATGGTCTAATCATTAAAGGCCCGATTTTGCAATGGTTACTAATGCAATTTTATGACTAGTCCCATTAGGGTTGCCAACTTTCTAACCCCACAAATCCAAACACCCTTACCATGCTCCCTTCCCTGAGGCCCCACCCCATTCACTCCATCCTCCCTCTTTCTATAACTTGGTCTCCCATATCTTCACTCACTGGGCTGTGGCAGAAGGGGTGTGGGAGGGGGTGCAGGCTCTGGATGGGGGTACAGGCTCTAGGGTGGGGACGGGGATAAGGGGTTTAGAAGGTGGGGGGGGCTCTGGGCTAAGGCCAAGGGGCTCACACTGCAGGAGAGAGCTCAAGGCTGGGGCAGGAAGCTGGGGTGCAGGCTCTGCAAGGAAGTTTGGGTGCAGGACAGGGTTCTGATCTGGAGCAGGACCTTGGGATATGGAAAAGAGCCTGGGTTGTGGGATTTGGGCAGGCAGTGCTATCTCAATTGGCTCTTGGTCCCGGTGCTGAGGGGCGAAAACAGGTTCCCTGCCTGCCCTGGCTCTGTGCAGCTCCCAGAAGTGACCGACGTGTCCTAGGCAGAGGGACAGGCCATTCTTCATCGCTCCTATTGGTGGCAGTTCCCAGCCAATGGGAGCTGCGGAGTCGACACTCAGGGCAGGAGCAGTACATGTAGCTCCTGTGGGCACTCTAATGCCTACAGGTTAGCATGCTGGCCACTTCTGGGAGTTGCACAGAGCCAGTACAGGCAGGGAGCCTGCTTTAGCATCACTTCACTGCCGACTGGACTTTCTATAGTCTGGTCAGCAGTGCTGACTGGAGCTTCCAGGATCCTTGTTGACAGTGTGTTACAGTTGAAAACCAGATGCCTGGCATTTCTTTTAATCCTATTGACTCCAGTGGAAGTACAAGAGAATAGGGATCCGAGCTCTAGTTTGTAGTTATTCAGTGTTTTAGTTCATAACAATCACTAGGGTGTGTTTTTTCTGAATGATGGTGAATTTCTTCTTTTCCTGATTAAAGCTCTTGTTTCCAATACTATGTCATTATTGGAGCACTATCTGGGTAAAGGGTAAGAAAGAGGTTATCTTCATATCTTTCATTTTACTGGTTATTTTTCAATCTGGACTTGGACTCTTTCTGACTTTCTTTTCTCCTTTTCTGTGACCTGCCTAGCTGTTTGAGGATCAGGACCATGCTGTTTTTGCCTTGCAAAGAGGTTTGCATATTTGTCTCAGTGTGAAAACAACAAGGAGTCCCATGGCACCTTAAAGACTAACAGATTTATTTGGGCATAAGCTTTCATGGGGAAAAACATACATCTGAGAGAGTGCTTTTCACCCATGAAAGCTTATGCCCAGATATATCTGATAGTCTTTAAGATTCCACAGGACTCCTTGTTGTTTTTGCAGCTAGAAACTAACGTGACTATCCCTCTGAGACTTATCTAAGTATAGTCATTTTATTGTTGAAAATAACTTTCATTTGTACTCGATAAGTGTTTTTATGAAATGGTTGCTTGTTATGATAAAACTGAGGTATGTGTATTGAAGCTTTTGTCATTTGATAGCTTGGAGAAAATTTCCCCTCCTGCTCCATGAGATGTAAGTGGGGGGAAAAAGGGAGCTGGAAAGGCATTCGTCCTGTAGCAGAAATAGTATCCTCTCTATATCACATACTTTTGTCTCCAGTATTCTCATCTATTATATCACATTGCCCTCCCACCTATTCCTTTTTGCCAGTGATGTCAGCTTGTCACCAAGATGTTCATATACTTTTCCCTGTCAGCCCTTGTGCATAGCACTGATACCTATGAAAAAATGTAATCAATGTAGTGATGAGTTGAGTGCCAGATGGAGATAGTTGATGCCTTGTCTGTATATAATAATTTAATTATATATGTAAAATTATTATAATTGCATCCCTCTTGCCCTATCTTTTCTTTTGTCTACTTATCTTCTTAGGGCTGTAATCCTACAAACACATACGTTGATGCTTAACTGTAATAAAATGAGTAGTCCTTAAAGTAATAATGTGTTTATACATGGGGGGAGGGGAAGGTTGTGCGAAGAGTACAAAAGCACCCCCCATAGTCCTTCAAGTAAGCATGCTCCAGCCAACCAGGGGAAGGCAGGAGTGGCACACTGCCTGAGCCTCCCTCCCCCATGCTCTGGCTGGCCGGGGAAAGGCTGGGGCTGATTTCCTGCTTACTTGGGGAACTTTGGGGGGTGTATTCGCACACTTGCAGTCCACATTTACAAAAAAGGCATACAACCCACAGAAATTCCCGTGTATGGGCCTGTACAACACCTAGCGCTATAGGGCTCCAATCCTGCCTGAGGCATGTAGATGCTGCAGCAATATAAATATTTAATAATAATAAAAAGCACCTGAAAGTGAGAGTCATGTCTGAATCCTCACATTACATCACTTAGTGTCTTAAAACAAACTAACCTCGTATCACCACAATGGGTGGTTTGTATGTATGAATTTTTAAATTTTTTGCTAGATGCTAATGTAATTTTTGTTGTGCTTAGAGTTTCTCTGAGTTATTTTTCTTGTGTCCTTTGCTATGGTATCAGTAGTCTGCAGCTAGATGTTGTCATCTTTCTTGTGGAGAACAGTATTAACATTTCAGTTGTCTGAGAATTTTTGATACATGTAGTACTTTATTTTTTCTTATTGAATTTCCCCCCATAATCTGTCTATGATGATGTCTTAATTCCTCAGCTTTCGTATCAAACTCATCAGTCAGTTCCTATTTTTTCTGGTCTTCCTCTACTTATTCGCTTCGCATTTTAGGCAGAACTGATAAGGGCAACATATGGGTCTTGAGGTGCAGAGCTGATGGAAGACTGTAAAGATGAACATTTATTTTTGAGGTGCAATTAATTGATAGATAGTAGGGCTGTCAGTTGACCTGCATTAATGCCTGTGATTAATGCAGGACAGGATTAACGAGTTAAAAAAATTAATGTGTTATCACAGATGTTAATACTGCGCTGCCCCTTTAAGGTGCCAAAACGGCACTTCAACGGGGCTCGGCTGTTGCAAAGCCCCTTTGTAGTGCCAGAGTGGTACTTCAAAGGGGCTTTGCCACAGTGGAGCTGGGGATCAGCTGGGAACTCCAGCTGACCCCAGCCTCCACCTTGCGCTGTCTTTTGGACTTTTGGAAACGCCACCATGGTGCTTCCAAGGGGCAGTGCTGCATGGAGCCTGGGATCAGCTGGGAACTTCAGCTGATCTCTGGCTCCATGCAGCACTTCCCCATTGAAACTCCACCACAGCATTTCAAAGAGGGAATTGCAGGTGATTAATAACGATTAAAATTTTTGATCACTTGACAGCCCTACTAGACAGGGAACATAGGCAGGTATGTGGTCAATGAAAAATCGTCACACTTTTTAAAGACTACTTTAAGCACTGATTATGTGTGTGTGCACATTGCATAATACACTGGAGTTCCAATCCTTCATTGAAACCTTTAGATGCAACTGCAGGTCAAATAATACTGATCTACTTTTAGTGCTGTATTACTTTCATGAAGATGTTGTTTTATTTGTTTTCAATCACTGTCTGTGAACAGATTTTTGTTGACTCAGCAATACTGATATTTTTTTCTCTTTTCTCTTTTTCTTGATGTCAATTGTCTTGTTTTTTTCTAAAATTTTACATACATTTTTTTGCATGTAAATCCCCCACTACTCAAGTGACTTTTTAGAACAGTCAGATTTTGAAAAAATGAAATTCTGGTGTTTAATGGAATGTTTGAGAATTTCAGATTATTAGTGTTTGGAGAATTTGAATAACTGGTAATACTTGTATTTTTAGAGTAATACTTGAAAGGGAGCACGGCCTAGTGCATGGGTGAGGAAGCTTTTTTGGGTTGGGGGATGCTGACTCATATTAAAATCAGTCAGGGGCTGCACACAAGTGAGAAACAAAAAATTAAAAAAAAATCTGACTTGTGAACACCTGCACATACAAACAAAAGCTCACCTGACGCCTGACTAAAAGGAGAGAGACACTTTCCACATTCCCCTCCACTAGGGGGCCCCAAGCTAGTAG